CCGCCGCCGCCGCCGCCGCCGCCGCCGCCGCCGCCGCCGCCGACGACGACGACGACGACGCGCGCGTGGGTATTCGAACCTACAACCGGACAGAAAACAGCACAGGGGAGGTCAATATCGTTCGATGTGTCAAACTGTAACGGCAATATATACGGGGCTGCCAAAATCGAATCGGGACGCGCACACCGCAGCCGCAGAGATCGAATCCGACAGCACGAACTCCTCAGACATGTTCCGGCGCGCGCCGCGCGCGTGCGCCGGCAGAAGGCTGTGTTCCGGAGCGCGCGACTCCCGGCGCGTTCCGGCCGTTCCGGCGTACCGGTGCAGCCCCCAGACGCTGTTCCGGCGACGCCTGCCCTCGAAATTTAGCGGAACATGGTTCCGGAACATGAAACCTCAACTTCGCATGTTTCCCGCCGTCGTCGGCGCCCCTTTATTGGCGATCCTTTAAGTTCGGCGCGAGCCCGTACTTCCCGAACTGGGGTGCCCCTTCAAACTCGGTCATCTTCCCCGCGCGCGCAGCTCCTGAAAAAAATCCGGTGTTTCACAGTGGTGGTTCCAGCCTCTAGCGAGGATAGCTTTGGGTTGGAGGAACACTTGCGGAAGGCGACAACTGCGAGGTCTGATGAGCAAGCAGCGCAGGAGACCTTGAGAGATGATTCGGCTGAGCCGCAGCCGCATAGACCAGAGGACCCTGTGCTCTTGGCATCGCCCGAGACCACTGGGCAAGCGGGGCAGTTGCCCAGACGCCCGCATGTGCTGTGCGATTTTGGTCCTGCTCCTAAGACTGGCCGGCAACCTATGGCCGCAACAGCCGTACTACTGGAGCAGAACCTGCAGTTGCGCCCTGCACCCGCTCCGAGAAGGAGCTCTAGGATTGAGGGCCTACCGCCTCAGAACTTTAAGGAGCCAGATGGTCGGAAAACCCCAGGCGTTGGCGGGGCAGATCACGTCCCTCCTGCAGGTCCACCCGCTCCGCGTGGACAACAGACTAACGCCGTTAGACTGGTCGAGTCCTTGGAAAGGCTAGGAGACGCCTCTGCCGGAATAACAGCTAGGCGAGAGATTGCCAAAGCGCACTAAGTAAACGGCAGCAACTCTCGGTCGAGGAGTGTATATTACTGGAGATGAGCCACGACCTCGTGGCTGGGCATGCCAATGATGCCAACTTTGTCCAGTACTTCCAGGTTGAGGGGCTGGAGGACCGCGCGATAGTGTTGGTCATGTCAGCCAGGTTGCCAGTGGAGCTGAACATAATCCATGTCGGCAATGTGACTGACGAGTCGCAGGTGCACTATCTGCTCCTGGACCAAGGCCACTGCAGGCCGATGTACCCCGACAGTCCGCGGCACGCGACCTTGGCCGGGGTTCACGAGTGGCTCGATAGCCAGAATTGCGAGGCAGTCAAACTGTATTCGACACCATGGGAGGACGTGCTGGATGAAGAGAATGGCAGTGAAAGGTTTCTGGACAAGAAAGAATTGTCGCTATGCGACCAATGTAAGGGTTGCAACCAGCAGGCTGCGAGAGTGCGCCTTCCCCATGCCTGGCGAACAGGGAAATGTGGGATATGCAGTCCAGCGTCTCTCACTGACAGTTTTGAGTATGAGTGCAAACCTTGTCCCGAGGCTGCGTCTCTCACTGACAGTTTTGAGTATGAGTGCAAACCTTGTCCCAAGGCTGCTGGTGCCACCTGGCGGCCGCGTCCGATGGGCACGGCCGTGCCAGATGTCATCGAGGAGTGGTTGGCGAAGCCTGGTAGCGCATTGGAGTCGCAAGCGAGCAAACTCGATGTTTTTGATAAGTCCCGCCCGCCCGACCCTGATGGCTGGACCGACGACGCAATTAGCGTCGACGTGTTGGCTACTGCCCCATATGCTCCTGGGGCAGAGATTATACTCCTCAAAATTTCTGAGGCAGTGGGTCAAACGTGTCCGGCAGGTATCAAAACAGGCGAGGCAACGGCCGAGGCCATGGCTGCAATGCTGAACTCCCTAGAAGTGGCCGCCCGTTTAGGTACGGAGCTGGCCGTCCTCTGCGGTTCCTGGAAAAGCACCATCCAGAACTATAGAAAGTTCCACTTGCAACGGAACCCAGACAACAGAGCTA